GAAGCGAATCAGAATTATTTAAGAATCCCTATAGGCATGATTTCTATGTGTGACTGATTTTAGATCCTTATAGACATGATACCTAACATCGCATGTGAGTAGAAACAAACAGGATTTTACTTATGAACCCCTATAGTCATGATTTCTATATGTTACTGATTTTATCGCGTTATTGGATTATAACCACTTACGCCCTAAATCATGGTATCTAAACGGAGACAAATGCGCAGGATTTTAGATGATCCCTATAGGTAGGTTATCTAGATGTGAAGTTGAACAAGAAGTCATATAGACATGGTTTCTAAATTCAGTTTGAATATGTAGAATTTAAAATAGTCTTATAGGCATGGTTTCTACCCTTGACATGCATAAAATACCCAACCCTTTTCACTAGCCAGCCCCAAATGTTTATTACAACTTATTACAAATCAGGAATACTAAATACTAAATATATTAGGAAAATACAAAGAAAAGAATTACATCCAGAGGAAGCCTGATTCTTGACTTCCTATCTGAGTTATGAGATAAACCAACTCAAAGACCCTGATCCAAAACCTTTCTCGGACTTGAGTGTGCCAGAGTTCCCTAAGGGCCTCAATAGGACCCCGGGCAGTGCTCACACCCAAGTTTCATAACCATAAAGGGTACAAGTGCAGTGTGGAAACGTCAGCCCTCATGTGTCCAAGTTCAAAGGGAGCTCATGGGCCCCAAGGCAAGGCTCACATGAGGGGGGCAGAACGTAAGTCTAAGAGGAGAGTGCAAGTGCAGAAACAGAGCTTTAAGAACTAAGGAAGTAAAGAAGAGGGAAAGAGGTGTTGGGAAACATCCATTAACACTTCAAACAAGTTGATAATTTTACATTAAAGGGGGAAGGGGTTTGGGAATCCATTGCAAAGAGCCTATATACTTAGGAATAAGTTAATTCTGGGCATGCACAACAATAGGGAGTGCTGTCATGCTAGTAAAATCAACCAGAACACACAACATATAAGGGTAACATGGAGGTTATGATCCTAGGAGGACCAAGTTTGAGTGATGTTTAGCAATATTCAATGTTGTCATGCACCAAACAAACCATAAGTATCAAACACATTGGGATAGGGATTTAGGATTCATAATACATTGATTCAGAACAGGAGAAAATAAATTACAGCATGCTAAATAAGGTACTAAATTTGATACAAGCAATAGGCAGACAGGAAGGCAAGAAGAAGTAACCATGTTGTTGTTGATGCTGAAAACATAACTAGAACATACCAGTCAAAGAAGCAAAAAAATGCAGTAAAGAAAGGCAGCAGGATTTCGAAATATAGCTTTGTCTTTCAGCCAGCTAAACAGGCCACAATACAAGTAGTAAAGCAAGAGAGAGTATTTTTAGTGCAAGTGTGTGTTCAGAACTAAAGTGTTCCTTGTTTGTGTTAATGAGAGAGTATGTATACATAGTAGTTCGAAACAATGTAAAATAAGGCAAGAATTACAATTGTATAGTAATTATGGAACTCAGAACCAATTAGAACCAAAATTAGTACAAGTACTCCCTTAATTTAAGGGAATCAGTTCAAACGGTAAAAACAAATAACAAATACGGGAAGAAATCAATGTGTAGACAAGGAAATAATTCGAACATATTAGGCATAGAGTAAACTATTAGAGCTAGGTTCAGAAAAACTCTAATTAGGGAAATAGATAGTAAGAATCAAACAGCCAAGGTAAGGGAATCAATCAGATTGAGTAGAAAGTAGGGATCGAAGGTCTAAAGGAAAGTGTCCAAATTAGACCAAGAAACGGGGAATTAGAATCAATCAAAGAGAAAGTCATGCGTCATTATTTTGCATATAAATAAAGTAAGACACAGATGGTCAAGAGTCGACATACAAACCTAGCAAACATGAGAGTCAAATAATACTGATTTGATGAGAAAGAGGCAAGTTTCGAACAGTCAAAATGAACACAAGCACGTAGAGTCAGTGTAAGTTTTTAGGCTAAGAAACTGAGTAGAAACAAATCAAGGCAAGATAGTCACGAAGAATCACAGAAACTCAAAAACAAGAACTGGCTAGTCATGCTGATACACAAAACTAAACAAAGAACCCCCTAAAAATTAGGGATTTCAACATAGATGAGTTAAAGAGAAGATAGAAACCCAAAATTAGAAGAATCACACAAAAGAAACAAGAGATTTCTAAAAGAACTTCCGCACTTAAACGAATAGTCTTGGACCCCAAAACCATAAGATTTCAACAATAGAAGGGTTTTAAAAAGAGGATAAACAGACAGATCGGACAAAACTCAGGCAAACAAACATTCATTTAATAAAAAGTTAAAAGAAATTAGGTTTTTTTTAACATGCAATCTCAGGCAGAAGGATAATACGAGCAAACACAACAAAACATATCAAAAATCAAAGAAAGGTTTCGAAATAACTTAACATAACCTTAATCAGAATGATAAGGAGTTTTGAAAGCGGAGTTTTACAAGAAACTTTGAGAAAAGTGACTTAGAAGTTCAGAGAATACATAGATCTGAAACAGATCTAAGAGAAATCGAGAGAACCTTAAAGGTTAGGGTTTCAGAAGAACCCCGAGCGGTGAGAAAGGATTTGAAAACCATCGATCTAAGTAGGAGAGTCAAGAGTCAGACTCGAATAGCCATGGTTGGCCGGAGAAAGGTCAGAGATGACCGGAGAACAGCCGTAAACTGAAATCCACCAAGGTCTGGACTAAGATCCTTCAAGATCTAACCTTGAAACCATAATAGTCGAACACGTAGAAGCCATGAGAGGTGGATACAGGTCTCCGATGACCTTGGAATCCATGGATTTGGGAGGTTTTAGGGTTTTAGTAGAGGGCGGCGGCTAGGGTTTGGGATGGTTTGAGAGAGAATTGAGAGAGAAGGGGATTCAGAGGCAGCAGAGTGTGTGAAATGGGGTTAGGGTTAGGGGTCGTTTGAATTAAAAAAGGTAAGAATTGTTGTTGGCCGTTGATCTGAATGATCAACGACCTAGATTAAAACGGGAAAGTGGGTGGGTTATGAAGACGGGTTTGGGTCGGATTAAATGGGTATTGGGTCAGGGTAATTGGACCTCGGATTAGGTTTAATTGGGGTGCAAAATCAGGCTAAAATTGAATAAAATGGGGCTAACAATTAAATAGCCACTTTTCCCTATTTGATTTATAAAAAATAGTAAAGTAATTTCTGGAAATTAATTAAAGGTACTAAAATAATTAATAGTGTATAATTATCAAATTAAAATTACTGGACTTAATTTTTAGATATAAATGTAATTAAATCTAAAAGAGGCTAATATTGCAATTATATGCAATTTAGCTTTAAAAATACTAAATAGGTTTGTAAAAATATGCAAAAACTTATATTAGCTATATTTTAGCATAAATATGAGAATCCAATAAGTGAATCACCAAAATGATAATTTTGGGAATAATTATTGAATTTTTCTGGATAAAATGGGCAATAAATTGATTTAAAAATCTTTAAATATTAAGGAAAAATAATAAAACATTTAGATATACATATGCTGTTTTGAAAGTATTTTGCATATAAAAAATGTACGGGAAAAATTGGGTATCAACAGTCGTCAAAGACCGGGGGTAGTTCCATTAATTCCATTTGGAAGCGAGATACGAATTCTCGCAGCATTTCATTCTCCCTCTGCTTGATCTTGAATACGTCGAATTTCCTTGTTTCTACTTTGATGGAACCGGTGTATGCCTTTATGAAGGAGTCTGCTAGCATGGGAAATGAGTCTATTGAAATGGTAGCTAGTTTGTGATACCACATCATGGCCCCCTTCGAGAGTGTTTCTCCGAACTTCTTCAGTAAGACGGACTCGATCTCGTCGTCTTTTATGTCATTGCCCTTTACTGCACACGTATAGGTAGTGACGTGTTCGTTGGGATCTGTTGTCCCTTTGTACTTTGGGAGTTCTGATATTCTGAACTTCTACGAACTTCTTCGAATCTACACTTTTCAGGACCGGGGGTGCGCCCGAGATTTGGTCGATCCTAAAGTTGTAGGTTTCGACCTTCTTGTCATTGGATGCTATCATTTTCTCGCCTGACTGGATCCTTTTGATGAGGTCCTCAAGCATTTTTATGATGGCAGGATCGGCTACCGATCCGTTATTGCTCGATATCTCTGGTACCTGTTCAGCCGGGGGAGTAGCTCCCGGTGCTACTGTGCTGGGAGTTTTTGGGTGGCTTTGCAGCTGAACGATAGCCAGTTGTTGTGCCTGCAAAATTTCAAAAATAACATGAAGGCTAACTTCCCTTTCTTCCCGAGCTGGGGTTTTTTAGGCATCCTGTTGGTCGCCTTGTTGTATGCTTTTGTCGGTGTGTGAGGTTTTGTCGACTTGTTGCACGTCGCGCGAACCCGCATCTGCTGGGATCAATCTAGGTGCGTTCTCGGATTTCTGTGGTGGCGCACCAGCAATCGGAACAGCAACACCATTTTCTCCGTGGTCTTCAAGGTTGTCATTTTCAACCCTATTTACCGAGCCAAACATTTTGACCTGAAATCGAAGATCTTGGACAAGAAAAAGTGAGAAAGATAACTTGTGTTGTGTAACGAAACTAGCAAGAAAATAATCACTATTATTTTTAGCCCCACGGTGGGCGCCAAACTGTTTACCTTGAAAAAGGTAATAACAATTAAATTTGTTGATGGGACTTTAAAAATACGTGATTTATTTTTATGATAGTTGTTAAGCAGTTGATGTTAGGTATGTAAAGTTTAAGGACGAAATGCGAATCTAAAGTAGAGTTATAACCAAATCGAGAAGTTAGCTATTCGGGCCTCGGACTGACCGATGCGGGGCCTCAAGGTCGATCACTACACCAAAATAGACTTTTAGCGTCAATTATTTAGTGGCAATATACTAATTGCCGATAATTCATTTAATGAAGCTCACTATTAGCGGCAATTATATATTTGCCGGGAATAAATAGGTTTTTACTGGCAACCGAAAAGAATAGCCTCTAATAATAGTATATTTTTTAGTACTCATCTTCCCTCCATTTTTTTCCTAAATATATGTTCCCTCCAAAGAATATTTTATTTCTCTTTGGAATCAATTTACTTGATTCTTCCTCTCGCCAAAGACCATGATTAGGGCAAAATTTTCAGCCGAATAAGATTTGGCCCTAGCAAGCTAAACAATTCCATCCGCCCAAGGTCTAACAGACATAGATTCTTTCTCTATCAATGTTGCCGTCTATTTTTTCGTAGAAGATGACCTGTAAGTTTTCTTTATTAACTATACTCCTACTTTTTCTTGATGCAATTAGTAGAGTATTTCGTGATATTAACATCTCTTGATCTTGTTTGTGATATGAACTTGATGCTTATGCAATTTCATTGGGTTCTATATGTAATTCTTCTTTTTTTTTCGCAGGCTCAAGGTTAGTTAGGATATTGGGTTAGAAATTTCAATTTTTACGTTATTTAGGATCCAAAAACTCAATAGATGCTTTAAGGGCGTGTATATTATTTGTTTGTTGGAACTGTTGATAAAATCAGATGTATCCTGTCCTGACAGTGATAATATTACCACTTTTTAATTTTCTATCTGTTGATCTTAGGTTTGAAATAGGTTTAAGCAATGTAAACTAATTTTGTTGTTTGTCTCTGGCCAAAAATCACCGTATAATTTTTTGAGTGGTTATGCTCTTACATAGTTTTTTTATAGATGCTCCATCAGTAGAATAATTTATATTATCTTTTCTTATCGTATTATGGGTATATAAAATTTTATGGTAAATATGAGAACTCATTAAGCTGATCATTAGGTATTGCATATTTAGATTGAAGTTAGAGTGATACACCTATGCATTTATCTTTTTCCGTCACATTACGATTAAAAGACTCCTCATCTATGAATCATTTGTTAAATTGGTAGTGTTATTGAAGGCTATATGGTATATTACTTGTGGCATATTAGAGAAAACTCCATTTCCTCTATAAAAAACTGAAATTATTTATTTCATCTATTTAATACTTTGAGATTTTATCTTCTTATTGCTGGAATTATCTTTCTGATGCTGCGATTTTTTAACTTTTGGTAATGTATATGAATTTGATTTAATGACCCTTAGCTCTCAACCTTGGATGTTATGTTTTATTATTTCTACATAATAGAAATGGTATGTCGTTCAAAATCTCTGTGCATTTTGTATATAGATTCCATCCATATTATAAGCTTTCTAATATATATGTTATCAGTGGCATCAACTGTTAGATTTTGAATTAAGTCAATTCTAGTTTTTCATCAATCTGCTGATTGGTAATATACAGAACCTACATACATAGATACATTTTATCATTTCGTTCTAGTTCTTATAATCTTGAGCTTATAGAAACTGCCAATAAAGGCCGAGAAAAGTGACCCGGGTATCTTATGGTGTTGTATGAAAATCTTGAATAGTCTCCTTAACAGTTCATTTTTCATTCTTATGTTTCCTAACCTCTTTCACGCAGACAATTCAGAAATGCAATTTCTCATATTGAATAGCTGCTTGATATGGACTTCACTATAGAAGGATGGACTTTGAAGAATTCTGCATAGCTGTCTTAGAGTGTTCATCAGCTAGATTATACAAAATATTTTGTACCTGTAAGTTCCTTTTTCTACTCTCGTATTAGTGTCATATNATTTATTCTTTTTGATGTACTTCTTGATGTACTTCTTGATGATGTTTCTGGCATTTCATTATTTTGTTCTTTAATATCCATTGTTATTTATCGAGTTAATATGTATTTGTTTTCTTTTAGTCTATTATCACTTTTTAATTTGACAATATTGTCTACCATTTTAAGTTCAAGATAACGTTGGAGCAGTTTGAATCTATTATTGTAGGATATCATTACTTTATTTATGTGTATATACATACCCATGGTTCGAGTCTAACGCAATAAATTTTATTGAATCCATTGCTAGTGGTTAGATCCCTAATTTGAGATCGCTCTATATGTTTCAAACTTTTAAGTCAACTCTTCCCAACATTTGATCATTACATAATTTAAACAAAGTTCTTTTCCTACTAATAAACCAAATTTACTATTTTTTATGCAAAATTACATAATATATTGAACTAAGAACATTTTCTACTGGCATCTTAATAAAGTTGAAGCTCTCAAACAGCGAAATATACAATTTGCTAAGGTTAAGCTTATGTGGGTTGTTTGGAAACAAGAAAAAGAAGAAAGCACTTAAATTTATCTACGTATCTCCGTATTTGTGATGGCCGCTACCTCTAGAATTGGACCATCTACAAGTATTAGAAACTTCTATTTTTTTAACTTAATTTTTTTCCCCTAGTTGACACATGACTTAGAACTCTAAAGCAGAGAAATTAATTACATAATTTCATATTTGATTCAGTATGTCAATCATCTATAATTGGCCATACACAAAGGGACTAGTTCTTCCTATACATCATAAACTCATTGATAGCAGCTTAAAATTTGAGTCAACATGTATATTATTCCTAAATTTACAATTGTGTTCTTCTTCTTCAAGCAGATTTTTCCATGTATAGAAAGCCATATGTTTAGCTTTCTCAATTTAAAGTTCCATCGCCCTGCTTAGTTAAAAGGATATTAGTTTATATAAATTTAATGTGCTTTGAGTTACTAAGAGGAGTTTTCTTTTTATTATGTGAAGGTTCAAAGATTCGTTGGTGGCTTCCTTCTTTTAAAGAGGAAATCACTACATATGTACCTTATAAATGAATCATGGATGTTAATTTCGTCAAGGCTATGGATGTTTTTTGGAACTGAGTTTCAAACATGCTTGGTGCATACTGACAACTGGTTGAGAGTTTTTGGGGGTATAAGTCCGGTGTAGCTCCTCAAAGGTAGGTTGGTTCAGAGCTATAAAATATTGAGTTGTGAGTTGATTATCTTATCATTTTGGTGCACAAATGGATGTTCAAGCTGGAATTTCTTATGGAAGACTTTCATTATGATCAAGAGTTGAAGAGATACTTGTTAGACTTGAAATTACATTGGATTCAAGTGGTATATTCTCTTATGTTGTCGACATTTTGACATTATGTATTAGAAGTTTTTGTTCGATTTGGATTTCATGAAATAAATAGTGCTTTTTAGAATGGATACTAGATTGTTCCATTAAAAGTTTTTGTATATATTTATATAAATCTTTTTAAGGTATTATCATATTGATAATGTTTGTATCAACTTGAATGAAAAATATGCAACCATTTCTTGGCATTAGGATTGCAAGAAAAATGAATCTTTGTCAACTATAGAAGACAAAGAAAGGTGATTTTAGGAGTAGTTTAAGTAGCTATTACAATTCCCTTTAAAAGAGGTAACTTTTACCAGCAATTAATGGATTTTTGTCGAATAGAGGCCGCTAACATATGATCTAGCACATTTCTTAAGGAGTTATTGTGGCCATTGTAATTGCCAGTAAAAATAGCCACTAAAAGTAAATAACTTTTAGTGACAATAATTGGTGTCTTCACCAGCACTCGACAGAATTGCTGCTAAAACCTTTAGCGAAGCTGGATACACCGACAAATAATTAATTGCCGGTAAAAATTTTAGTGGCAATTTTTATTGCCGCTGAAGCTAAAATCTATTGTCGCTAAAGACCATTTTTGTTGTAGTGGATGCCTGAGCTCGAGCTCGAGCTATCAGGGATAATCGGGGAAGGGCTAACAGTTAGGATATAATTAAGGGAGACTCTTTATGTCCAATGACAAGAAATAAATGAAGAACATATATAAAAGTAATAAATAGGAGCAATAAGATCGAGAGAATATATTAGAGAGAAAAGACAAAGAGAGAGAGAGAGTGTTATTATTTATCTTATGTAAAATAGTTGGAACAACAATAGGTATTTACAAAATGGTAAGGATACCCTTTATGTAGAAGGAGAATATTAACATAGTACAAAATGCATTAATTATAAAGATATGGAGATGAGACGGATAGACGTGACACCCTGATATGGGTTCAGGGCAGGCTGGCTAGGTTTTGTCAGGCTTAGCCGTGTGCCTTGGGAACTCCCCATTTTTACTCTAGCCTCGGTAGATGTTCCCTTCAAGCCGTGCATCAACAAGCCTAGATGGAGGGAACTTGTTCACAACTTCGTGACCTCGAGGCCTCGAGATGATCTTCTAAAATGAACGAATAGCAAGAAATTGGACCCTCTGATTTCGCCGCATACACTGTACCATCTCCATATCTTTGTAATTAATGTCTTTTATACTATGATAGGATTTCCCACATATATAAAAGGGGGTCCTTACCATTTTGTAAGTATTTTTTGCTCCGTGCTAAATACACAAGAACATTCTCTCTGCTCTCTAAACACATTCTCTCGATATTATTGCGGTCATTTATTGTCTTCGTCATTGTTCTTCATTTATTGCTTATTATTGGCCATAAGGAGCCTTCGTTGATATTATCGTAACCGTTAGTCGCTCTTCAACTGTCTTTGATAGTTCCTAGTCGAGCTCCCAAATTGACCTCGAGGCCCCCGAGTCGACAAACTCGAGCCCCCGATTACTAACCTCGCAGTTTGGTTGTCACCTTGTTCTAAGCTCTTATCTCGTTTCTAAGTCTTCCACATAGCATCAACTGCCTAACAACTAGCATAAAAATAGATCACGTATTTTTAGAGTCTCATAATCAAATTTAATTGTTATTACCATTTTCACGGTAAACAAGGTGTTTAGGACCTCTATTTAAGGTGGTTCTAGACTCACATATGGTGCTTAAAAAGAAGAAAACTAAGCGATAAATAAAACAAATAGGACTGTCACATAAAAGATGCAATTAAGGTGGGATCATATTTACCTCGACAAATAGACAAAACAAGTGCATGCCATTCAAACAAGCAGTTTTTTTTATAATTTTAGGAGTCCTATAGACAGGATATCTAAATGAGCACAGAATATGCAGCAGTTTTATTAAAGCGAGGAAGTGAATACTTATCAGTTTGCCTACTAATTTTATCACTTACTGAATTTGAGCACATTTCAAGCAGCAAGAAAATCATAATCTTAAACCCAGAATTTAACTATCCTACAGGCTTGCCAAAGTGATAGATGGCAGAATCCTATAGACATGGCATGTAAACGTTAATCAAACTATGATTTTATAAACCAGTGATTGATTCTTAACAGACAGATTTTATTTTTTAGACCCTACAAGCATTGCTTTCTAAGTGCTGAAAACTGATCACAAGCGTTATTTCATGACATCGAAAACTGATTTTATACACGTTCCCTATAGACATGATATCTAAGTTGTCAAAACTTATTTTAAATATGATTTCCTGTGGACATGGTATCTAAGTGAGCAGAATATTATACGAGCTGATAATTCGAAAAAGATCGTATAGGCATGGTTTCTAATGCACATTGAAACTTGAGAATATGCATGAACATGAATTTTGATACAGAATTGATAAACGTCCTATAACAGGATTTCTAGGATGTAAAGTATGAAAATTCAGGATTTTAAAGAATGAGATAAGTCCTATAGGCATGGTTTCTAATGCATATAAGTAAATAATTATCACAGCAACCTATAGGCAGGATTTCNTTATACTATAGGGAGCCTTCATAGGCCCAATATCAACCTGGGAACCAGGCCTTCAAACATAGCATCTCTGAGCATAGTGGAAGCCCATCCATAACACATAAAACTAGTTCTTGGTGTGTCAAAGTTCCCAAGGGCCTCAGGGACCCCGGGCAATACTCACACCAGAATCAGATGTTCACCAAAATTCACTAAGGATTGGAGAACCAGCCCTAGAGTTCAGAGGAGTATCATGGACCCTAAGTAGTGCTTACACTAGGGGTGGAAGGACCCTAGACACCTAAGAGTAAGAGTTGAAAATAGTGTATAAAAGTAGGAGGTAGTTTTTGGAAAAAAAAATTTGGATTTTAGAAATGGATAGAAATAGGTCATAAGATTACAAGAACTACAAGCAGAACCACATTTAGCAGATGGAGTTCAGACATGAATTCCAGTAGTCAAACAATAGAGAGAACAGAGTCACAATCAATTCAAACAAGGTTTCCATTTCATGGGAATGACTTAGTTCATTAGCTATTACTAGGTGAGCATATAGGAATATATTAAATAGAGAACAACATGCTGGGATCAAGATGCTGATCAGATAGTCATACAGAAAAGGTAGAAAAAGTTGACAGCATAGAAATCATGAATTAATCAGGAACCTATTAAAGTAAACACATAAGACAGGACAGGGATTGGAACATGCTAGTTGAGAAACAGGTGAACAAGTATCCTGGATCAAACAACAATGTGCTAAAGTGTATTGACCATACTAACATAGTGGACATGATAAATTTACAGGAGTTAACGCATGCTAGTTAACACAAACATAATGGAAAATAGAGGCATGTTGATATCTACAACAGATTGACTACATAGCATATTGAATAGGACATGATAACAGAGATAGACATGCTATTTAAAAGCAATAAACAGGAAGAACATAGGTCTAATTAAATAGCATATTGAATGAGAGAAGAAGTGGAGACATACCACTTAAGAGATAGCAATATGAAAGTGAAGCAAATAGGATCCAAGAGTCTAGCCTTGGCTTTCAGCCGGCTAGACAATACAACAAACACAAGTAACAGGAAGAATTGCAATGGAGAGTGTGTATGAATAAGAGCAAGAGTTTGTGTGTGTTTCTATCTTTCTATGTGTGTTCGAGTGTTGTAAAGAAGTTAGAATGGGGGAATTTTATAGCACATAGCAGTAATAAGGCAAAGAATAATTAAGAGTTCACATATAAGGTATACAAATAAAATCAATCAGCTAATTGGGGCTAAACTAAATCAAATAACTCAATAGAATCCGGGAAAGACCACTTAAAATAGGGGAAATCAATTAGCAACCCAGATTGGGATTTAAACAAGGTAATAAAATCAATCAAAGACCATCTAGGAGTCGGCTAAAGCAATCAAATCCCATAAATCTGGTTAATAAATTAATTAAGGCAAGCAGTACCAATTATGAGTCACAAATAAGGAAAATAGGTAAAAATCATAGAGAACTATCAATCTCGGCAGAAAAAAATATAATTTGAACCCTAATAAAATCAATCAATCTCTTCTAATTGGCAGAGATGAAAATAACGGGCAAATATTGAAATAATCAGGGAAATAAGTAGAAACACCAGGGTTTAGAACATATGCATGAAAAATTAGTCAAACCAGTAAAGAGAATCAAATTTAAACACTTAGAAACCTTAAAACCCTTTTGCAGAGAACTTAAAGATGAAATCCTAGTTTTAGAAAACATTAAAATCGGTTAATAATAAGGAAGAAATATAAGGTTTTGAAGAAAAATACCAGATAAACTTAAAGTCATTTTAGATCTACAAGGATCTCAACACACTCGATTAGAAAGAGATTAGGGTTTTGAAGAATAGAATGAGGTGAGAAAAATCCAGTTAAGAATCGGAGTTTCAAACCATAATCATAAAGATAATAATACTCACAAACATAGAGATTAACACAAGGCAGGTTCACCGAAGAAATGAAGAGCTTAGGTCGACTCTGAGTTGAATCTTTTTGAGATTCCTTCAGATAATAGCAAAATCGAACAACCGGTGAAGGTAATAGGCCGACTAGGGCCTGAAATCAAAGAGAAACCCCATGGAACGGGGTTTTTTTGATGACAGGGGCTAGGGTTAGGGGAGAGTCTAAGAAAGAAGAGAGAAGATAGGGATTCAGGGGCGACAATTTGTGTAAAATTAGGTAGGGTTTGGGGTTTTTGTATATTAAGAAAAGAAAGAGTGTCCTGGATTAACGAACATGATTGAATTTGGGGTTGGGGCGGGTTAAAATAATTGATTTGTTGGGTTTGGATTAGATTAGGGTATTGGGCTGGTGTCCAAATCCTGATTAAGGAAAATGGGCTATTATTTAAAGACCTAATTAACTTAATAAAACAATCTTATAAAATAATTTATAAATGATAAAAATATCATTTATGCATGA